GGCATGTCACAGTACAAAAAAGCAAAATAAAAATTCCAAGTCTCCAGCTCAGAAATCCACTCTCTACTCCTCTGTTTTACGTTAGTTTTTAGTTGATTTTTGTCGGACTTTAAGAGAGAGAAAGTGGCGTATTGTGGACTTTGTCAATATAGGAGAGAGAAACATAGAGAAAGGAAGAGGTTTCATTTACTTGCTTCAAAGCTCGAAACTTTAATCTGTTTCCGTTCTTGGCTTTGATCGATTTTTGAAATCCGGAGAAAATACTATTCTGGGTTTTTGCTTGAAATTGAAAATCTGATCCTTTCTTGAGGAGTTTGAGAGAGAAAGTCTTGGGTTTAGGTTTCGGATTCCGATTAAAGTTTCATCAAGAAAATCTTCTTCTGCAGTTATTAGGTTTTGACGAGCCGTTGATCTGGACGGAGTTCCAGATCTCCGGGTCGTGTTCTATAGCGAGGGATTAGGGTTTTAGCACAAAAGCTCTCGTTTCTCTGGATTCGAGAGATGGAGAAGTTTTCGGGTCCATGTTCGCTGCTCTAACATTCGGAGTATGAAGATGAACATGAAGAAATTTCTCAAGAAGCTGCGTATTGTGCCTAATCAAAGAGAAGACGGTGAAGGGTCGATCTCAAACAGGAGCAATAAGTCGAGTGATGCAGAACCATCTCCTTCAGATTCATCGAGGTCTCAAGATAGTCATAGTAACCCTGAATTCAAACCCTTTTCGGGTTTCACGAATTGGTTAAGCTCTGTTGCTCAAAGGAAAAGCCCTATTCCAACAACTTCTTCTTCCAATGTCAATAACAATGGGGATGAAACAACAACCATGGAACACGGTGGTCCTGTTGGGTCAGAATCCGTTGTGCAAGATTTGAGTTGTAGTAATTCCAAAGATCCAGTGGTTGAAGAAGAGTATCAGATACAGTTGGCTCTAGAGTTAAGTGCTAGGGAGGATCCTGAAGCTGCTCAGATTGAGGCTATTAAGCAATTCAGTTTAGGTTCTTGTCCTCCTGCTCCCGATAATTCTCCAGCTGAACTCATGGCATATAGATATTGGGTAAGTTTTTGACTCAACTGCTAGAAGCAAGGGCTGATTAGTTGATTATTCACTATAGATTTCCAGTAATGTGTGTTATGATATGACATTTCGTCTCTTTTAACTCTCTTCTGTATCTTCTAACCAACTTTATATCATCTGGAATTGTATGTGCCTTTGCAGAATTATAACTGTCTTGGCTATGATGACAAGATCGTGGATGGTTTCTATGATCTGTGTGGAGTAATGAATGAATCTTCCTTAGAAAGAATACCTCCTTTAGTTGATCTTCAGGGGACTCTTGTGTCAGATGGTGTAACTTGGGAAGCTGTTCTAGTGAACAGAAGCCAAGATACTAATTTGTTGAGACTTGAACAGATGGCCCTTGATATTGCAGCGAAATCGAAGTCAGTGTCTTCTTCCGGCTTTGTGGACAGTGAATTAGTAAGGAAACTGGCGATTTTAGTTGGAGATTACATGGGTGGACCAGTTGTGGACCCAGATAGCACATTAAGAGCTTGGTGGAGTCTGAGCTACAGTTTGAAAGCAACCCTCTGTAGCATGGTTTTGCCCCTGGGTTCTCTAACTATTGGATTGGCTCGTCATCGTGCCTTGCTGTTCAAAGTATGTATCCTGATCTCTCTTTCTTTTGCTTTGTGTGAAAACTAGCATAAGAGGGCAATTATTTTCTTATATCTCGTGACTGTTAGTTTGGTGCATGTTTAGTTGAATATTGTGCGAGGTCCTGGGTTGTAGGACTTTATGTTTGTTACATACAAAGCTTATTGCACCTCTAAAACGCAGTGTGGTGTTTTTGTCTCTTCTTTCTTATGAGACTTTGTAGGTTTTGTGTGATAGTGTCGGTGTTCCTTGTCGAATAGTCAAAGGACAGCAATATACTGGTTCAGATGATGTGGCCATGAACTCCATCAAGACTGATGATGGCAGGTGATCTCAAATTAAGATTAATTTGTTATGTATCTATATTCAACAATTTCTCTATCACTTGTGGAGGAGGATGTGTGTGAGTGTATATATATATACGTAAGAATGAACATAGGTGTATAGGGACTTGGGTGTGTGTTATAGCTAACTCACATTTGTCAAAAGGTCAAAACTAATACAGAGGCTAGATACAGTGAACTTTCTTGGTCTATGCAACATACCGCTGAGAAATGAAAGCAGGATTAAGCGAGTTTCATGCTTGTATTGTTGTGATTTCTGCTGCAATTGCAGTCTACCCTTGCACAGTATTTTCCCTAATGAGTGCAAATGTGAACTTCAGGGAGTACATTGTTGATCTCATGGGAGATCCAGGCACGCTTATCCCCGCTGATGCAGCTGGACTACAAATGGACTATGACGATTCTGTCTACTCTGCCAGTCCCAGAGACGTTGATTCATCTCGTGTAGCTTCTTCCAGCAGTGGGGTCGAGAGCTCAGTTGAAGAATCTTGGTCAGCGGAACATCGTTCTAGGACCAAGGGTTCCCGGGAGATAAACCAATCTGAAGGTGGAGGGGATCTCATGATTCGTCCAAATATTTTTAGGGAAGTTGTGGGAAATCATATGGGTCCAGTTCAACATCTTCCCAGCAAGCCTACTTATTCATTCACCCATGCCAGATCACCTTCTTGGACTGAAGGTGTTAGCTCTCCAGCAGGGCGCAGGATGAAAGTCAAAGATGTTTCACAATATATGATCGATGCTGCCAAAGAGAATCCACAACTAGCTCAAAAGCTTCATGATGTGTTACTTGAAAGTGGAGTTGTTGCTCCTCGAAATTTATTTTCGGAAGTTTATTCAGAATCAATGGAGGCAACAGTTGAAATCAAATCTGTGGCTGAATCCAGTGATGAGAAAGGGAAAGATTTTGGAACAATTCAACAAGGAAGAAACCAGAGCAATCTTGGTCCTGTGAGGTTTTTGCCTCCACTTCCAAGACTGCAATCTAAAGCAAATACTCATGAACTACATGAACATTCTATACCTGGACTCGGTCATTTGTCTGATTCGTCACATTCTGAAACATCTATGGACTATCCCAGAAATGTTCCTGTTGCCGTAGCTGCAGCGGCAGTTGTTGCATCTTCCATGGTTGTTGCTGCCGCCAAGTCAGCAAACTCGGATTCCTCCACCTTAGAACTTTCC